CGGGTGCACACACGTCCCTGCATCCGTGTTTCCAAATTCCCTCTTTTTTTTTTCTTTCTTCTTTTTTTCCTGCCCGGAGCTGCCACTGGAATAAAAAGGGCCAAAGAGCCACAACTGCCCTTGTGGGGAACCTCCTCCCGGCTGGGAGACCCCCCCACGGGGGGGCTATAACCAAACCCCCTCATCAAACCCCACAGATAAAAATGAAAACTACCCTTTAGGAACAAGAGCAGGGGGAGAAAATCACCGGGTGATGCCGGTTTGAAAAGCAGGAGCCAAAATCTGGCCTGAATCAGAAAACTTGGTTAGAGTTAATTCAGTTTATAAAAGGCAGGAGACCCCCTGGTCTCCGGGGGGGAGGACTGGGCTCCTCTGGACTCCGAGGAGTGGGCAACCATCGGGAGAGGGTCAGATGCTGAGGGCACCTTCCTGCCGGCCCTTGGGAAGGAGCCCCCCTTTACCTGCGCCTCAAAAGATGGGGCCAAACCCTCTCTGCCCGAGGCGGGGGGTGTCAGAAGCACCTCTCCCTCTGCTCCTGCAAACACCCTCCCTCCCTGGGGATTTCGGAGCCAGCCGTTGCCCTCACACCAGGCTCGCTGCTGCCCTGAGCGCTCACCAAAGGGGAAGGGAATATTTCGAAAAAATGAATTTTCAAGATGAAACCGTGAATGGGAAGGAAGTCTTGCAGGAGGCAGATGATTTTTACCCAGGAGAGGCATTAGGTACTGCAGCCTCCGCTCCTGCCTCCTTCCCTCCTTCCCTGCACGGCTCTTCCTCCGGGCAGCGCAGGGGCAGAGGGTCCTACTTTTTCCCCCTCACCTAAAGGAAAAACCTGTAGGAGCGAGACGTGGCCCACAGCTCATCTGCAGACAACCTCTGCCCCCTGGCACTGTGTCCCACTGACTCTTCCCGGCTGATTTTTGGATTAAATCCCTGATTCATTGAGCCAAAACCCCATAACAGCAGTGGCTCAGTAGAGGCTGAGCCCAGAGGGTGACACCCTGAGCCTCGAGGGACTCGGGGAGTCCTCCACCGAGCACCATAGAATCACAGAATGGTCTAGGTTGGAAGAGAACCTTGGGATCATCGAGTCCAACCATCTCCCCTACTCTACAAAGTTCTCCCCTACACCATATCCCCCAACACCACATCTAAATGGCTCTTAAACACATCCAAGCATGGTCACTCAACCACCTCCCTGGGCAGCCTATTCCAGTGTCTGACCACTCTTTCTGTGAAAAGCTCTTTCCTAATGTCCAGTCTCAACCCACCCTGTTGCAGCTTGAAGCCATTCCCTCTTGTTCTATCGCTAATTACCTGTGAGAAGAGACCAGCACCAGCCTCTCTACAATGTCCTTTCAAGTAGTTGTAGAGAGTGATGAGGTCTCCCCTCAGCCTCCTCTTCCTCACACTAAACAGTCCCAGCTCCTTCAATTGCTCTTCATAAGATTTATTCTCCAGGCCCTTCCCCAGCTTCGTTGCCCTCCTCTGCACCAGCTCCAGCACCTCGATATCTCTCTCGTGTTGAGGTGCCCAAAAGTGGACACAACACTCCAGGTGTGGCCTCCCCAGTGCTGAGTACAGGGGGACAATCACCTCCCTACTTCTGCTGGCCACGCTATTTCTAATCCAAGCCAGGATGCCATTGGCTTTCTTGGCCACCTGGGCACACTGCTGGCTCGTATTCAGCCGCTTGTCAATGAGAACCCCCAGGTCCTTTTCCACCAGGCAGCTCCAGCCACACTTACCCAAGCCTGTACCGATGCATCTCCTGGGTTCTCCACAAACTCATCCTCGCTGCAAGTGCTGCAGGAGGCTCCAGCTCCTCTCCCTCCCACCGGCTCCGTCCTTGGGTTGCTCGGCTCTGCAGCAGCACCTTCCAGTACTTCTGACATCGCCTCAGCTCCTTGGGTTTAATTACATCCCAAACCGGCTGAGATGGTAACACCGGGTAAAGCTGTTTTGGGGAATGGTTCCCCCTTTTCCAGCATCACCCCCCCGCACCACAGCAGGACCGTTGGGCAGCCACGTCCCTGCTCCCCGCAGCGCAGAGACCTCTGAGCGTGAGCCCACCATCTCCATGTCTTGCCCCTCAGTACCTTCTGAGTATTTTCATACAAAGCCAGAGCCATAGCGGTTTTGCTTTTTTGGGGGGAAAATCCAAGAAAAAGACCCGCCAGCACCCAGAGGAACCGGGGGACACTGGGGTTGGACATGTAGGAAAGTGCATGTGAAACCCCACCAAAGGCCAGCGCGTGAAACCACAAGCTCCAAAGCCCGACAAACGTCACCCCAATCCCCTCCACGTGTCACCGCACAGATTTTAATGATGGGAAACAGAGAGAAAACCGGGGCAGGAATCCCCTCTTCCCAGAGGAGCACAAATCAACCCATGTGAAGATCGCTGCTGTCGCTGTAATTAGCACCACGGCAAAGCCCATGCAGTAATTAACTTTCTCCCTTCCAAGTTAAGATTTAATAACATGCAGTAAAATAAGACCTGGGGCGGTGAAACAAGCAGGGAAAAAACCCATCAAATTAGACACTTGTGACTTGATAAGGAATTAATTATACCCTGGCCTAATAATAATAATAATACACTGCTTTTAATCCGCCCTTGTGCTCCAAGAGAGGGAGCTGGGAAAAGGTGCTTGAAATGTCCCAGATTGACTCCGAGGACGGGGCTTCTGCCAACCAGAGGCTCAACCACGCTGGGATGGGGCTGAGCTGCTGCTTCTGGCAGAGCTGGAAGAAGAAAATCAAGGACAAAAACATCCTGGGCTGCCACGGAGCTGTCTCAAACCCCTGTGATCGTGGCAGGGAACGGCTCTTCCCCTGGTGAATCGGTGCCACCAGCAGCCCCGAGCATCTCTCAAGGCACCTCCCAGGGTGTGCCGGGGGCAGTGGACAATGGGGGACTGGAGGCTGGAGGAGAGGCTGTGCCCTGCCAGAGCGGGAATAAATGGCAGTGATGGCCAGACCCAGTGATGGTGCTGGTCCCCAGGGGGCCTCTTGGGGACGAAAAGAGGTCGTCCCTCCCCATGGCAGAGTTACTGCAACACCTAACCCAAAGCAGCAGGTTCAGACAGCGAGATGGAGATGCACGAGTCAAGGGTGTTGATGCTGCAGCATCCTCCTTCCAGGAGACTGTGGGGCACCCAAACCACCCCCAGCTGCAGGTGAGGACCAGGAGGAGCAGATGTAAGGAGGTGTAAGATGAATAAATCCATGCTAGAAAGGGAACAAGGAAGTTCAGAGGAGTTAAAGAGATTATTTTGAGAGCATATGCATGAACTGATCCAAGCCTGATGCATAGACATAGCCCCAAATTGAGTTGGCATCACCCAGCAGAGCTGAAGGCAGTGGTGTCTTCCTCGGCAGTGGTGAAGGAGAGATGGAGTCTGGGAAGGTCACTTGGAGCTGAGGACACCACTCTTCTGTCACCACCTCAGAAGAGAGAAGAGCCCAACTGCTAATGTGGGTGGAGGTGGTGCTTCTCGGTGGAGCCCAACCGCAAGTGCACTCCACCCTTGGTGGGCCCAGACCCCAGGGTCACAATTCCCCTTCAACAAATGGTCCCCAAACTTCACACACTGCCAGCAGAGGAGGAAGAGGAGGCTGAGGCCAGTGTGCACGTGCAAGGCCTTGAGCAGCACATAAGGACATCTTGGGGAGGTGAACAAGTCATGGGAGGATCCAACCAGATCTGACATTACATGCCAGGATCCAGCCTGGACATCTCCTTCTCCACCCAGCTGCAGGTGAGGACCAGGAGGAGCAGATGTAAGGAGGTGTAAGATGAATAAATCCATGCTAGAAAGGGAACAAGGAAGTTCAGAGGAGTTAAAGAGATTATTTTGAGAGCATATGCATGAACTGATCCAAGCCTGATGCATAGACATAGCCCCAAATTGAGTTGGCATCACCCAGCAGAGCTGAAGGCAGCGATGTCTTCCTCGGCAGTGGTGAAGGAGAGATGGAGTCTGGGAAGGTCACTTGGAGCTGAGGACACCACTCTTCTGTCACCACCTCAGAAGAGAGAAGAGCCCAACTGCTAATGTGGGTGGAGGTGGTGCTTCTCGGTGGAGCCCAACCGCAAGTGCACTCCACCCTTGGTGGGCCCAGACCCCAGGGTCATAATACCCCTTCAACAAATGGTCCCCAAACTTCACACACTGCCAGCAGAGGAGGAAGAGGAGGCTGAGGCCAGTGTGCACGTGCAAGGCCTTGAGCAGCACATAAGGACATCTTGGGGAGGTGAACAAGTCATGGGAGGATCCAACCAGATCTGACATTACATGCCAGGATCCAGCCTGGACATCTCCTTCTCCATCAGTACATTCCCACCTCGGTTCCTTGCAAGCAGGTGAGCTCCTGAAGGAACCCTGTGAGGCTGGGCAGAGGTAGGACATCTCCTTAGCAGCTCTGATCTTTGCCTCTCCTCAGCTCTTGGTGGAAAAAGAGAGGCTGGAGGTGTCCTACCAGCCCCACGTGCCACCAAGTCTCCCTGGTAAAGCCAAAGGGATGCTTGTCATGCGGACAGGACACGGGGCCTGTCTTGGAGGTACATTTGAGATCAAGATTGACCTATTTTATTCTCTCTGCTGCTCTGGTGCAGAGGCACTCAGTGTCCCTACACGTTCCCGTCTCACCCTGGCAGCTCAACCACTCAAAGCCAAGGGGAACACACCACGACTGTGAAACACCCACCTTTTGAAGAGTCCCTGAGCATGGGACTTCTGAGGATGCTATTCCCAGAGAACAGAGCTCCAGGTCACCAGTGTGACAGACTCCGGGGGTCAGACCAGCTGGGACAGAGACTGCGGTCACAACAGACCCTTCTGCACGGGGTTTCACCACTCTTCCCAGGCCACAGACCTTCCTAAATAGGAGCATTTTAACGAGGGGCAAAATCCATCCCTGAAATCATGACCTGCCCCAGTGAGGTACACCACAGCCGGACAGGGAGGACTTATTTATATACAGCATCAGCACATCTGCCCCAAGCGGTTTTGCTTTTTGCCCCAAGCCCTCTTGGAATTGATTCCCCCTGATATCATCTGCCTCTCGCTACAGCTTGGCATAAGTCAAAGAAATAAATTACTCCGTTACTAGAAAATCCAGTAAGACTGAATGCAGAATTAGTCTCATTAAAGCACCGAGCAAGTAGTGGCAGCGTCAGCGTTTTTAGGTTTTGGTCTCTTTCCTTGCCCTGCCTGTGTGTGCTCACGCAGGGGGTCCCGTATGGTCACTTGTGTCACTTGGTCAGGCCCTGGAAGTTGGGCTCCGTAGACGAGGGGAGCGCTGCCTGCCGGCTCAGCAGCTTATCCAGGATGTTTATTTCAGCATCTCGTCTCTCAATGTCCTCAAACGGAGTCCAGGACATGTCGTGCTGGAGCTTATAGGCACCGAGAAATTCGTGGGGACAGGTCCCCCATTCCTGGAGGAGAAAGGAAAGATTCCCATCACTGCTTAGTTTCCCCTGGAGCTGAGCTGGGCTGTCCCTCAGCCCAACCTTTGCCATCCTGGATCACCCTCCCACCTTCGATGCAGTCCCAGCTACGTGACCATCCCATTTTCTATCCCAAAAATAGGCTCAACTACCCCAAGTCTAAATTATGTCAAGCTATAGTGATGCTGTCACAGGGAGGCCTGGGGATACAAGCTCTTCCTGACCTGCAGAGAGCTCCTCTACCTGCTCGGTGCTTCACTCTGAGGCCCTCACCCTGCACGTAAGAAAACGGGTGGCCTGGAAGGAGGACACCTCCAAGAGCACCGCTGCCAAGCTGCAGACAAACTCACACCCTGGATGAAGGCCATGAGACAGATGGCCACTCCAGGCAAGGAAGGCCTCAGGCATGTTTGCAGCTCCAGAGAAAGAACTGCAGGGACTGAAAGGTAGAATTCAGGTCCATTCAGGTGGTCTTCTTGCCCACCATCCACCAAGGTCCAAGAGAACTTCATAATATGGCTCTTACACCAGCAGGTTAACTCAGACGAAGGGGAAACACTAATTAACAAGGGCCTACAAAGGCTCCCACCACGTTGGTGCTTTCGTCTGAGGTCCAGAAGTGCCCAAGCACCAAAAACGTGGATTTTTTCCCCCCTCCCTGCTTCCTCAGGGGCTGTTACCACCCACCTTAGGAGAGAGGATGGAGAAGTATCGCTGGCCGCTCTCCCGCTTGTACATGTAGTAAATGGTTCCTGGCTTCTTCACCAGGTTGCAGGCCACGTGGTGCAGATCAGCATCTCTGTTAGCTTCATCCAAGACCTGAAAATCAAATTTAAAATTTCCACACTTGAAATAAAATGACAGCACACCACTGCCTCTCAGCCAGAGTCCAAAATACTTGGACACACCACTCGTGAGGCCTCATCCTTCTTGATGTACATCAGGCTTCACCCAGCAGACCTTTGCTTGCCCAGGAAGGAGATGTTTTCCAAAGAGTGAAAGTTTTCTCCAAGTTTCCCCTATCGGCTGGACCCCAGAGCTCCCACACCCTTCCAGGGAGGTGGAGATACCTCCAAGCATCAAGGACCTCTTCACCACAGTCCCAGCTTCACCTCTGTGCCTGAGCCTACCATGTCACAGACTCGTTCCTCATCTCCATACAGAGCTGTTGGACCCTGGGGGCTTCCCTGCTGTGGTGCCCCAAGGAAGGGACAGCAGACAAAGGGGAATTCATCTCCCTGGCTCCACCAGCTGACTGCTCCACAGCTCCGGCTCCACCAGTTAACCATTATCTGACGTAGTGGCCTTGATGGCAGCGGGCCAGTGGCAGTGACTGGCAGATCCTTTCCCACTCAGGCTCCATGATTTCACCCCTAAGGGTGAAGCCTGAATTAACAGGACAGCCGAGTCCCACTGGGCTTCCTGCCGGGGCCCCCTGCTCCAGCAAATGAACTGGGACAAACTGGAAAGCTAAGGCCGTCATCAGGTGACAGCTCATCTCCTCCCAGGGGCTCAGATCCACGTCATCACCCCACTGCGCCGAGTCCTCCCAGGAGCACAACACACATGTTTACAAAGGCTGTCAATGACAGAACAAGGGGTAATGGCTTTAAACTGGAGAAAAGCAGATTCAGATTAGACATTAGGAATAAGTTCTTTACTATGAGGGTAGTGGAGCACTGGAACAGGTTGCCCAGGGAGGTGGTTGAGACCCCATCCCTGGAGATACTCAAGGTGAGGCTCGACGAGGCCCTGGGCAACCTGGTCTAGTTGGGGGTGTCCCTGCTGACTGCGGGGGGGTCGGACTAGATGGCCTTTGGAGGTCCCTTCCGGCCTGGGCAATTCTATGATTCTATGATTCTATGTTACGGCAACAGGAGTTGCCTGTCCCAAAACCAGAGCCACCTTTCCATCCTTCCTGACACCCACGCTGGTTTTGATGGGCCACCCTCGCTTCTCTGCCTTAACAGAAGTCCTCCCTGGTGTGCCGAGGACTGAAAGCACTGAAAACATCCCCTACCCCCGTCCCCAGCTGATACCAGACAATAAACCCTCGTTATTTTCCCACTGAATCTTCTCTACTTGGCTCCTGGCCACAATTCAGATCCAGGCCACAGCTTGTCCCCAGCGTCTGGTGGTTCAGGCAGACACCGATCTCCCTCCCCTCACAAGCCCAAGGGAACCAGCCTCCTGCCCAGCCCGGGGACGCGGCCTCACCTTCCGAGCCTGCTCCTGCAAGTACCGGATCTGCTCGGCGATGACGGTCAGCTTATTGCAGGCGTTCGCTCGGATGAAGTCGTCTGCCTGCAAAGAGGAAGGGGGTCTGGTCAGAACGGGGACAAGCCACAGCCCTTCGGAGCCTGCCCCGCCGGTTGTGGCCTCACGTGAGGCTTTAACGGCGGCGGTGGGTGGGGGCAGAACGGTGGTGGGTGGTGCAGGATCTGCCCCGCGTGCAGCTGGGGGGCAGCGGTGACACCCCCAGCAGTGGGGGTGGCAGCTGTGGAGCAGGGACAGGGCACTGGGAGCTGCCTGGCCACACTGGGTGGCAGTGGAAGGGAGCAGTAGGACATACTGGGAGGCGCTGGGGTGGACTGATGGTACTGGGATGCACTGGGAGGAGGCAATAGGACTTGGAGGGAGGCACCGAGAGGGTCTGGGGGACATATTGGACAAGGACATAGTACTGGAAGGCAGTAGGAGGCACTGGAGGGATAGCTGAACATTCTGGGAGGCACTGGAATGAGCTGAAAGGCACTGGGATGGACTGGGAGTCACTGAAGGGGGAAACAAGACGTATCGGGTGGTGCTGGGACAGACTGGGAGGGGGGGTGGTAGGACACACCTGGACACACTGAGGTGGCCTAAAGGCAGTGGGACATACTGGGAGGCAGTAGGGCGTACTGGGATAGACCTGGAGCTTAGTGGGAAGTTGTGTGAGTCACTGGGGGCACTGGGAGGTACTGGAGGCACAGTGTAACCCACCGGGGAACACGGGAAGCTACTGGAGGGCTCAGGGAGGCACAGGGGAATACTGGAACATACTGGGGCATACTGGGAAGGGGCAGTGGGATATGGTGAGAGGGACCACGGAGCACACTGGGAAGCCGCTGGGGACACCGGAGCGCAGCGGGACGTGCCGGGAGGCACCGGGGCGGCCGCCGGCCGAGGAGGCCCTGGAGACGGCCGGGGGAGGCAGCGGGACGCCAGGTACCCGCGCGGCCCCAGGCCCGGCCCTCACCTGCTGCACCTGCCGGGCCAGGGCCACCAGGTCCCCGGGGTCCCCGACGCGGGCGGCGCGGCCTACGGTGCCCTCCACCAGGGCCAGGCCCGCGGCGCCGCCACTGCCAGGCTCCGCGCCGCCCTC